AATTCATCGCCAGCTGTTGGCATGTCGACCTGACGACCGGTGCAGATCAATTGCGGGTGAACGAGTGTCGACGGTCGACAAGAACTGGGAGAGCGGTGCCATGCGACTGGAGAGAATTGCGATTTTCCGACGAAAGACGACGCGATTCGCGTTCCTTCGGTGTGCAACCGACAGCTCTGATCTTTAAGCGAGCGATTTTTCAGCTGTTTCCGTTCACGAGAATGCATCTCGGTGGATGTCACTTTCGGTCGGATGTTGAGACGGTGAAACAGATTTTAAAAAGTGAATGTCTGCGCAAGACATGGAATTCTACGCGATCGGAAATCCCATACCTTGGTGGGACAAATGCCTCACCGTCAAAATTTTTCCCGATCACCCCTCGTATATGTGTGTGTGTGGGTGAGTGGGTATGGGTGTGTGGTGTGTGTGGGTGTGCGCGCGTTTAAAATTGCATATAAAGGCACGGTATTAACTTGATACCTGCACAACAAACACAGCTTATTCTCGTTCGAGACCTATAGAATCAATTTCAAGCTCTACGTTCACAATAGCCTGAGCCCCACAAGGTCGAAATCGGCCACAACCTTGAAATTTAGCCACGGATTAAATTTCAAGGTTGAACCGTGGGTTCGGTTGGGTTTGTCTGGACTGGGATTGCCTCGGGCAGTTTGCTCCCTGAAGAATACCAAATTGCCTGGGGCAATCTGCTTCCTGAAGAATACCAACTTACTACTGCTATAGTGATGTCCGATTCCAGGAAAATTTGGCTGTTCAGGCACAAATTTTGGGGGAGAACCGGGGGTGGGGGGGGATACAGATTTAGAACTTGGTATGAGATGAACCTTGTTTCCTCAGAGCAATTTGAAATGACACACTGGAAGCAGGTCCTCTCTCCGTGTCATGACAAGACCCACACGCGTATTTTGAAGGGAGCGCATGTGCCATGTCACTTGCCGAGTCATCCACGGTCCAAGGTGACATCTGGCTCCTTGCCGAAACAACAGCAATGCTCGACGCATTCCACCATTTTCCCCCTTAAAGTAGCAAAAAAAGGGCCATTCCAGCGCCTGAAACTCGCCGCGGATTAATGAATCTGGAGAAGGCACGCGAGGACGAACCGAAAACCAGAGGAATTTCAGGAAGTTCCTGAAATCGAGCCCGGGGACATTTAATTATGGCCCTGCTGCAAGATGCTCCAACGTTCCAACCTCCTCCAATAACGCTGCATCCTTCCTGCAGACGAATGATGATTCCTGGAAGTGCCAGAGGGACTTCCAGGAAGATCGTCTCGAAGGAAACCCCACGAGTCTTGGGGCTTTTAAGCTTTATTTTTTTCCTCCGTACTTCCAAGGTTCGCAAATTTCATTGCATGCAAGCCATTTCTCGGTCCTCCAGCTGAGTTTCGAAGGAGCAAACGCTTCATTGCGTGGTGAAGCAACGGCGGATTTCCGCATGGAACAAAAAGCCGTTTCCAATAAAAATTAAAATTCGACATATGTCAAGTATTTCCGGTGTATCGTTACAGCATTGATTAAACTAAAAATATCAGGTTTATCTCTATAAGATGCATTCGATTTGGGCGAGGAGTTACCCTTGGAGATCATTTACCATCGTCCCATCCAAAATCGGTGCAAGTGGTTTCGTTCACGCACAGAAGACAGAGTAAATATTGATAAATAATAAATAAATAAATTTAATTCCTGGAAAAGAGGCGATAGGAAATGATGAGGCCGATAACGCGTCCATACTGCCAGTAATAATTCTTTATGACGAGATTTCCAGAAAGAAATTTCGACACGGCTTTTGTCATCTCGGTCGATTTGAGGTTTTCCGCACGAGGCGGAGTGCGGATGGCCGCAGCATTGGAAATTCCGACGGCAGGAGTCCGTCTAATATCGACCGAGGCTTCATCGAAGGAGGAGGCACGGAGAGCGCGGAGAGGCAGGGATGACCTAGCGAACTCCTCTCCTGCCCGCGGAGGCAAGGAGAATGAATGGGATTCTTGGTTTTCCGCGGGGAATGCGAGAGCGAGGGGGCCAGGAGGGGGAATGCGTTCCGAAGAGAACAGATCCCTCTGTGCGTGAGCATGGAGGGAGTGATTTCGCTGCTTCGGCAAGGTGATGGCTCCGGTCTCTGGGCCGCGAGCCGGGCACTTTCGTGCTTCTTCGCTTCCATTCGTTCAAAAATGCGAGGAAAGCACACTTTTTTTTCCTTTTTTTTCTTCGTTCCAGCATCTATGAAAAAAAAACATATTGGCAGCAATAATAAAACTAATAAATACTTCTGTTGATAATATTCATGTATACCGGTAGTGTGCTTGCAACAAGCAGACCTAGCCAACTTAAAATATAAAAAATTGAGAATCAGAAATAAACTCGGGTATGCTTTCCTTGCATTTTACGAAAATGGATCCAATGTGAGCGGAGACAATTAGGTCAGAACCCGTCGCTCTTTACCGTTTTCCTATTCTCTTACTTCGATTTAATGAACAGATGGATACGGAAGAGCTAACATTGTTCGATTTCAGCTTTGCTGTGATCTCAGCTGATCTCAGATCTCAGTTCTAATTACTGGCGATGCAAGTACAGTATGTGCAGTAACAGGCACTCGAGTCGAAATATTCTTCGTCTGTTTCGCTCCGCAACCGTGAATAATTCCAGCTAAGGGGGAATAATTCACTGCAGGTAGTAAGCGGCGGTTCGAGGCAGTCTCGGGCAGCAAGGATCCATTGGACCGGCCTCATACTTCTTTTCTTGGGTTCGTTCCGCTGTCACCTAGGAGAATATCTTTCATTCAATTCCTCAAAATTCCTATCCTTTCATGCATACTGGTAAGTAGGTAGCCCGTGCACGGAAGGAATGCAATGAATGCGAAAATGATCAGGGTCGCCCGGGTCGCCAGGGTCGGCAGGGTCGCCAGGGTTGCCAGGGTCAGGGTCAGCCCGAGGATTCGCTTCTGGCTGGCCACTTTGTACCCAAATGGAGGATATTCGTGGAATTATTTACTGTCAACGTTACCCCACGTTATCCCAACGCTCACTTTCACATGTAGCGAAGACGGATCATCTACGTACGCTAGACCTGTCTTCATGCTGGAAGATCACGTTGGCCCAAGGCAAGCACCAGCAGTCATGTCTTCAGTGAAGTCATATATGGGCTGTGGCTGGCTTCTTAGGTAGATTGACATCTCAAAATGGAAAAAGCATCAACCGCCGACCTCGTTTCGTCTTTCTCGTAAATTAAGCTGAGTATGGAATTAGATGTATTTTCTTGTCAGACGTATAGACAACAGAACAAATAATATCTGGATTAATATAAGGTGATTAATGTAACGAGTAATGCGCAAAATGACTGAGTGAGTTTGCTTGAAACATACCAAATTGAGGAAATGACAGAAAACAATAGTCAATTAGTGTAGGTTTATTTCATGCACGAATTCAATAAAAAAAAAAGGATTTGACATATGAATATTATCTACGTAGGCATTATGCAATCAGTATAACAACCAATTGATTGAATAAATACAGCCGACATTTCGGGGGAAAATCGTGGAATTACATAATGATATGCACCCGGGTTAATGTTGTGAAAGTTCTTGTAAGAGAAGAATCCGGGAAAATTGGGGGAAATAATTTCCTACTGAAAGAGGAGATAATACAAACTTCAATGAGAGAATAAACATTCATCAGGATTAGCATAAGTCTTCATGAAGCATGGAGGTCGTTCATAACTGCTGCACTTCTTTCACCTTGCGGACTAAAGCCTATTGCGACTTTCTCGCTTCTTCGCCTCCTTCATGAGTCCGCTGAGCTCACTCATGAGGTTGCGGTTAAGGATCTTGGACGCGCAGAAGACTCCTGCGATCGCCGCTCCTAGCAGGCTGGAGCTCATCAAGTCCTGTCCTGACAGGAACAGTCCTAAAACGAATGAAGTAATCTGCAGAAGACATTGGGAAATAATTGCAGCTAAAATGTCCATGCAAAATTCCATCCCTTGAAAGAGGCCACCAATAGATGTAGATGTAGTAGCAAGACTTCCTTTATGCATCCAACAGTAATTACTTCAAGCAGTATTTTGTGCTTTACGAGATGCATCCACTCAAAGCCATACAATACCATGCACCTCAGCTCAAGTCCTGAACTAACAATATAGAAGGATGAGGACTGTATATTACCTTCGATGCCGGTCTCTGGACGGAGAAGAGCTTGAGTCTCGAGTTTGAATCGTTCCATGTTGCAAGAGAAGCTGTAACTGTCTCCCGCCGTTCTTCCCAGATAATGGTTGTGGCTCAGGGGAGATCTAATCACAACGAGATCGATCTTGTCCTGAAAGACATTTCGTTCGATTTAGCAATTTGGAAACGTGCAGTCACCAGCGACAAAATTCCCACCAATTCACCCGAATCTGGGGGAACAGATTGCATGCTTGCTCGATGAGCCGGTGGCCGATGATCTTCTTCATCTCCTCGTAACGGTCACCTCGATGAAAAAAGTCCTCGTTTTCCCATGGGCGAAACCATTCGTAATCGACGTGACCGAAGATGATGCATGTTGCTTTCCCTAGAGATTGAATGAAATTCCAGACTCATTGGAAAATTACGACAAGATGTACGAAAACCAAAGGATAAAATTTGGTCTACGTTGGGATGGACCATTGACTCGGTCACATTATAGACCGCACGGTATTTCTTGATGTCAATTATCTTGCTTTGAACTAGTGCTGAATTGTCTCTTCAGTTTGAAAGCGAGAGGTAAGGCCGTTTCACCCTATTATATATATTTTTAGCGTTTGGACAATATGATTGGGTGAAACAGTTTATTTTAAGGATGTTGACACCTGGATTTTTATGACATTTTGCGTGCATAACTTATTTGCTGCCTGACCAATAGCCATGATAATTTTTGCTATAAGCCACAGCTTTGAGGATGCACTCACATAGTAAAAACATGATTATGATTTATGTCGTTATTTATGATTTATGTACAGAAAAGGACATATTTTGAGTCATCGATTCTGAGGACAACGAGGACTCCTATGTTAGAGGCTTCATCGAGTTATCTTATCCTTACAAGTTCACTAGATTACTAAAAAGTTGCTTCGAAATGGGAAAATATTAACCTTTCGAATCTTAATTTAAAAACCTGTTGCTATGACGCCATTGTAATACCATATTAACTTCGGATGTGTCCCTCTTTAAACCTGAAATATATATGAACTTGTTCTCTGGGAGAAAAAAGCTATGCCGAATTTAAAAGAGTAAACTTATTACTTTCAGCTAATTCCCAGCCCCCAAATTTTGGCCACAACAGCATTTCGAGACAGGAGTTGCAGGAATCTACGGGCAAGCTTTTGATTTAGCGCATTAATTGCCATGTGAGACTGTGAGAAATAATGCGCTTTCTCAAATATAAAAAATGTATTTCCAGTGGAGTTGTGAGTGAAACTCGATATCCACATCGCTTCTTCCATTTATTTTTTCATGTCTCCTAGATGTTTTCTTGAATTTGAGCTGCACCTGTCGAAAATTTTAAGAAATCACGAACTATTTTTTAAAGGAGGCATGAAAACGTCACATGACGTCTTTGGCAGCGAATGTGTTGCTTTTTCCGCGCGAATGATTAAGTTATGTTTCCAAACCATACCAGTCCTCCCTCCCCCTCTCTACCTTCTGCCACATTCACAGGTATTCGATAACATAACACTCGACCTATATGCCAAACTTATAATAATAATAATAATCCAATACATCAGCCTTACTATTCCTGGAAGAGGAACCAAAAAAAAACTCTTTTCAAAGTTGCAAAACTGATCCAACTACACTTTGTACGAAAATGTCCGCAATTTGTTTTTAAAAAAAAAACACCAAAGGTGCCATCAGTCTTGCAAAGAATTTTGAAAATCCTATAAATTAACTTGGAATTTACTAGAATTTACAAGGTACGAAGCATCTTCATGAAAATGATATTAATAGATTCGATTATTGTTTGATTAAGAAGGTCCCAAACCACTTTGAAATGCTAACCTGGATATCTCTGATTGTGAGTAGGATCCTTTGCAGAGGGGAAGTCGAGAAAGATATTAGGTAGTTCAGCATCCAGGGCTTCATCGACGGTCTTCCTTTTGTACTTCAAATGAAGCTAACGAGCGAAAATACAATTATGACATTCGCCTCCTCATCTGTCGTCTCTAGAAACCGGGACTTTTACACGTGCCTCCTCGCTGTTGTTGCCAGTGAAACAGATATAATTTTTTGCAGACAGTTCGAGCTCCTCGTTGGATGCATTGAGGCCAAGGAAGACTTCGATCCAGGGACCGCTTGGTCTCAATCTGGACAACACCGGGTACTGGATGGTACGCCTGGCAACTTTTTCCGGCAAGAGCTTGGTTAGAGTCACCGTCACATCTTGGATTTCAACAGGAAAAATACATTTCAGGACTATTTGGAGTCCCATCAGTTATTCAGCGCATTGGTTTCAATGTGTCCTTTCTTTATACTTTCATATATTCTAATGCGGGATTTCATAGTGACTGAAGGTTTTCGACAACCAGGATCGGATGATAACGCAAAAAAACGTGGAGTACAACCTGAAGAATAATTATTCTGCTTGGTCTAATAATATGAATAATACTTTTATGTAAAACACTTTTGGATGAAAAAGAAACTTAAATGTTGGTGCTTCGTCCTCTTTTGAGAAAGGGCTTTTAGGTGGAAGGCCCAACTTATGCCCTGCCAGGGGCGCAACCAGGCCTACCCTATTTCATTCATAGGAAGTCTGGATGAATACAAGAAAGAAGAGCTTCAATTGAAGTAACTGGCTTCAATTTCATATGTTGATATGAGCGAACTGCAATTTCTTGACAAGTCCTATTCCTGCGACCTGATTACCTATATTCATGGGTTACGTAAGGAGTATGTAGGTGAATGAACTCTTTGCAGAATTGTTTTGCACAATTAACTGTGAATTGCCATAAAGAACTCAAGGAAACAATGTTACTGACTCTGCATGGCCTATCATGAAATTGCGTCGATATTACATTATGAAAGACGATCCTGATGACTTTCTCCTCCTGATGCCTCTGACTTCAGATATATCACCTGCTTTATGTCCTCGACCTTTGAGGCGCCTCTGCTTCTTTACTCCTGGGGGTTGAATTGCTATGGGTTGGTCAATATGCACTTCTGCCATTTTTCAATGGATGATGCATATCTGAAGCACCAACGTCGAAAGGTATATCATTTGAGAACGGCTCGCATATGGGAATAATGACATCCTTCCAACAAAAGCTACAATCATCTATACATATATTATAGCTGGGCGCCTGTATATTCGAAAGTGCCATGTGGGCATGCGCGGCGTCTTCTCATTGACTCAGGTTGTCTATCTCGCACTCTCAAGCTCGCACTTGAATTCCGGCTGTTGCGGCTCCCGGATCCATTCTCGAGAACGGGAGAAAAAGGAATTGTACATATTCCCGGATGTTTTACACGTCCCAACGGGAAAGTCGACATCAAGGTGTGAACATCCGCAAAGTAGGGGGGAGAGGTTGTGTGCAAGACATGCAATTCCTCTCTCTCTCCTCTAGTATGGATACGTCAGCGGAGATGGCCGGAAAGAAACTGTGAACTCAAGGGAGCGAGACAGACACCAAAGGAGCGAAACAGAAGGCGTCGCGCATGCGTACAAGCGCTTGCGGACATATAGACGCTCATGCATAATAAATATATACATAGATGGTATTTCATTCATACATTGACGCTTTCTACAGTATTGATCATATTGTTTCAATTAAACTTTCTCATACCAATGAGGATGATGAATAAGTGAACTTAAAACATCATTACACAATATATGAAGCCTACTTGCGTCGGAGATGATAATCGGGGCAGTAATTTTCATGGATTTGGAGTCATTCTCCACGACCACACCCACTGCTCTGGTCGCTGATTCATCCAAGCGGATTTCCTTAACGTTGGCACACACCAGGACCTTCCCACCCGACTTCTCTATCACAGGGATGATGTGGAACGGGATCTCCGATCCTCCTCCTCGGGGGTAGTAGGTCCCTAAATATAAAGTCTTCAATTTCAGCCTTCCACTTCCTGGGCTTCATGTTTGTGACGGGTTCCTGATCCACTCTGATATTTGACGCTAGTCCAAAAACCCTTGAACGCTACAACCTGATCAGCGGGCAATGGAAAATTTCATACCAGAGATAATGTGAGAAAGTTCATATTAGTTCATTAACAACAAGTTTCCAAATTTGATACTATCCTCTCCTTCAAAACCAGCCAAACAGTTCCCAAAGAGAGGCAAATATAAATACAATGGGTTATGAAATAACTTTATCTGGAATACGCTGATCTTTGTTTCCTCTTCGGACTTTTTGTGGGAGTCTTATCCCCATCAAAGCTGGATACTTGACGCCTTGGGGGGTTGTCGAAACATACCTCTACCCCCCCCCCCCCCCCGAAAGGGGAAATTTTTCAAAAGTAGTATTTTGTATTTACTCAGCTAAACCGCCTGATACTTTCAAACCAAGTTTAAACTTTTTGACCCTTTGTGTTGTTGAATCAAAGAAAGATACGGGAAAATGTGCCCCTTGGAAGAAACTGGGCCCTGAGGGGTTTTCCCTAAAAGTAAAATTTTTACTGAACCCGATATTAGGAGAAATTCTTGTCCACCAAATTTCAGCCTCATAAGTATGCTTTTTTCACTATTGCAAAATTATTTTTGGAAAAGTCGACTCAACAAAAAGCGATGCCCTGAGAGGATGCACCATAAAAAGGTGAATTCATTCCCTTTACTTAGCATCGTCAGTTTTATGCGCGCTTCATTGCAACTTCTATTTTTGCCCAATTCGCAAGGACTAAAAAATTATTTGAACATATCTCCCAAAAATATACCCCATAGAGTACAACTGAAACTTCACATTTTTTTCTAGACTCAATGTGCCAGGAGGCACGCTTATGTCATGTTTCAGCTTTCCATGTCTCTCAGTTTGACGAAGCAAAAATACAAGGTGCCCATGAAGTGACTACCCATGGGCGACTTTTAATTATAATCCCTGAAGTAGCCTTTTTTTTCCTTTTGTAGACCAACAAGGTACCGACCTTGGAATAGTGTCAGATCTTTTCTCGTTCAACTTTGGCATGGCCGAGAATTAATTTCCCATATATATAGTATCACGATATCTTAAATTCATTTTAATTAGGAATAAATTCAGGCGACTCGAGGAAAAATCGCCGTTTCACTCTATTACAATAACTTCTTGCAGTCATCAAGATAATGATAGAACAATAAAGCTTTTTTGGATTTCAAAATCATGGAAAAATTAGGAATTTACCGTAAAAAATTGGCCAAATATGTCGAACGCCGATTTCCAGATATTTTTGAGCCGTGGCGATTGCATTTATTGCTCCATCCATGACAATTCCATCACTTTTCTCGCACACGGCGCTGGAGATTTTTTTTTTCAAGTTGTTCAGATCTGTGAGCTTGTCCTTGTCAACAACGTCTTTTAAGTAGCCCAGAGGAAAAAATATCTCAAGCAATCAAAATGCAGAGATAGTTGAACAATTGACAATCCGGCGTGCAACACTCTACATGTCTGAACTAGTAATTGGAACGCGGGTTTGGTAAATGACTTTTCAGTGTCAATTGAGTGTAGAAACAAAAGGTGTGACACCATTCCGAGGTCGAGCAATCAACAAAAATAATGAAAGTTGGTTCCAGCAGACTCGGTGTAAAAAAAAAGTTACCCGTACTCACTCTACGGAAAACATCACCCCTAAAAATGTGCTGCTCCAGGGCTCAATAGTGACGGCTGTACCACGTTTCAGACTCCTAACTTTTCGAGAACCTTATTAAAATTACCGTCAGTTACTCAGTACCGATCTTCTACTCGTATATATTAGAAATTCCACCTTTGGGGAACCGAGAAAAGAAATCTCTGGTCTCAAGAATAAAAGGCAAATAATTATAAACCCCGATAATAATGCTGATGAAAGAGGGCCATTATGTTGAAGCTAGCTTCACTAGGGATAACTCCGGTGATCGCCCATAAGTAGGTGAAGGCCGTCCTTAGGTCTTCATTGTCTGTGAGTTCCTAAGGGATAAAAAAAATTTGGCAATATTTTATAGGCTTTCCATGTCAAATTTTCCAAAGTAATCGGTAATATCATTGACACATATGTTTTCAGAGGAGAAAAAATGGAAACTAATAATCGCGAATGCTGATTTTCCAAACCCAATGACAATGAACGAGGGTCAAACGTAACTTAGGAATTCTAATTGGACAAATGTCATGAAGGATATTCTCAAGTAACAAAAGAAAAATTAATAGGGACATGCTTGTAGGATGCTGGATATCCAGGATAGGGGTATCAGACTAGAGGAAAATCAAATGGGACTGTCCCATGTCGTAAAAGAAATGCCTGTCATTTACAGTTAAATGCCACTCTATTCGCTACACAGATGCTTACAAGAATGTCCATGTAGGAACCAATGGGTACATTTTCAAAGTCTGCTGACGATTGCTTGATATCCAAAGTCCTAAGGAATTGGGTGGTTATACAGGTAGTAGTGAAGGTCCAGTACCAACGAAGTCACTCCATTACAATCGAAAATTAGCTATTCCACTCGTCTTTCAAGCAATTCTTTCAAGCAATATTGAGGTTATACTTTTATATTTAACTTACCATTCCGCAGTCCACTCCTTTTCTCCTTATCTGACGTGGAAAGCCAATACTTTGGTTTTCGAAGGAGAGATCAAAACTTTTCATTCCCTTTTTATTCATAGTTGTAATCCCGCTCCTTGCTCCATATTTTTGCTGGAAGCTAAGCATTGCATATTTTTTTCCTAAATCACCCTTGGTCAACCGGTCAACAGCAGCGCCCTCTATTGCAATATAGTGCCATCTTGCGGAAGTGAAAGAAACCTCTGAAACTCATGAATCTCTCTGTCAAATATCTGCTGGATGCAATTGTCCCTTGAAAAGTTAAAGTTGAAAAGTTGATTGAATTCAGAGACGGCCGAGCACAGGCAATCACTTCACTTGAGCTAGAATGATCCAACTCTTAGGACCTTTAATTCACCTCTAAATGGGCTTTTTTTTTGCTTTTGTGCTTAAAAAAAACATCTAGCAATTCAACACTTTGAAACTGTCCAATATTGATTGAGTATCCCATGTAGCTTTTTTGCTGCATTTATGAAACTGTGTTTCTCCCATAGAAAACGTTAGAGCTTTTTTTTACGACCTAATAGATGGATATATACATGGATATATACGAGGGTTTCTCCAAAAGTACTGTTCGTTAATTTATTTCCTCGGAAGTCCTTGTTCAGTGACAATGAAATTTCTCAGAGTCAACATTTCTCCCTTTCCGCCTTTGTGGTTGTAGTTACATCCAAATCCGCTTCGCGCTCTTGCTGGGCCCACGTTCAAAATGGAAACTGTGGTGAAACCGCGTCAAAAGCGGCGGGCAGAGATCGATTTTCTTTTGGCTTCTATTCGAGGTAAAAGCTTCGTTAGGGTGTCATTTTAATTGTGAAACTGTCGTCTTTAGATCGTTCTAAGACATCATTCTCCGAGGCTAAAACGAGAACTTCCACCTAATCAAACAGTTTGATTAAGTTCAGCGGAAGATATCTACACGTGCCATGATGGAACTTGTGGTTTCGATACTAGATTTGAAGTGTTTTTATTCCCCTTCTAACGATACCAAATTTGATGCTAAAGCTCAATTGCCTCAAGAGATATAATCATTTGACGGAAGGAACAGGGCTCAGATGCTTGGAACCGAGGGAATGTACGATATTGTGCGGTACACTCTTTCTTCCGTAAAATGATTGTATCTCATGAGCCATTGCGTATTAATATCAAAATTTGTATCGTTAGAAGGGGCATAAAAAAAACTCATGGAATCAAGTACTGAAACCACGAGTTCTAGCCATGGCAAGTGCTTCCACTGAAGTGCTTCCATATCTTCCACTGAACTTAATCATGAGAATGATGTCTAAGAAAAATAAAAAATAGGGCAGTTCCACAATTAAATTAACACCATGACGAAGCTTTTCTCTCGAATAGAAGTGAAGCTATAGCAAAAATAGTCTCACAATTCCAGTCAATATTGGCACCAGGAACCGAAAATAAGTGACACTCAAATCCATTTATCTAGAGATCGGAGTAAGATAAAAAAAAATCTGGCATTTATTTTCTTATAATCATTCCCTCTACGTGAGTACCGATTTTTGTCAAAATTCAAGATGGTTGAGCACATTCTCTGATCGATTTGGTGTGGAGTGACCCAAGAGTCAAGAAATATTACTCTAATTATGACTCCTTTTCGGTCGTTCCTTCCAGTATCTTTCGCCCCAAACTAATATTATATTAATACCAAACTGCTCAGGAGGAGCAAACAAATCGATTGATACCATATACGGCAGCAAAAAAATGTAAGTGACTTTCGAACCCTGCTTAAGTCGGGCAATGCCCATTTAAAGGTGAATTAAAGGTCCAAAGAGATGGATAATTCTACAAGAGTTCAAGTGAAGGGATTAGCTGACCGTCTCGGAATTGAATTACCTTTCAATCTGTAACTTTTCAAGGGACACTTGGATGGAGCTGATATTTGACAAAGAGATTCATGAGTCTAAGAGCCTTTTTATTTCCGCAAGATGGCGCTGTACCCCAATAGAGGGCGCTGTTGTTGACTGGTAGACCGGGGGTGATTAAAAGAAAGATGCAATGCTTCGTTTCCAGCAAAAATATGTAGAGATGAGCAGTATTACAACTATGAATAAAAGGGAATGAAAGGTTTTGGATCTCTCCTTCGCAAAAAAAAAACACGTATTGCCTTTCCATGTCAGATAAGGAAACAGGAAGTCGAGCGCGGAATAGTAAGTTAAATATAAAATCATAATATCAATATTGCTTCAAAATTTACATGAAAGAAGAGTGGAAGAGTTAATTTCCAATTGCAATGGAGTGACTTCGTTGGAAGTGGACCTTATAGAGCCTTCCCATTCCTTGGGATATCAAGCAATGGCCTTCATAACACTTTGAAAACGTACTTGATGGCTGCTACATGCACAATCATTTTCAAATCTGTGTGGCGAATTGAGTGGCATTTAACTGTAAATGGCAATCGTTACTTTCATGACAAGGGACAGTTATATTGGATTTTCTTCGTGTCCCTATCCCGAATATCCAGCATCCATTATTTACAAAGAAAACGTTGAAATGAAACATGATATACAAATTGGGACCATATAACGTGTTTTATCTTCATTTCTACTGGCAGTGTACAACCAGCATGCGAGCGTTATATAGCATAATTCTTATGACTTGCAAGGAAAATTTTATGTCCCTATGTCACAATGATTTCAGTAATAACGAAATAATATATGAAAAGTGTGTTTTCGAAAACTGGTTCTAAAGAAATGGTAGTATTAATACATACTCGAAAAAAAAAACAGTTTATGTCCTTGTCGTACTACTTTACAATTTTATGCCAGCTTCAAAGCTTTAAGTTGTTCGAATACCGTTGTACGGTATTCGTTGTACCAAAGCGACAACTTTAAGGGTATCAATCACAGCTGTTAACAAGAAAAGTTCGAAAACCACTGGCGTACCTCAACGACACTCTGAACAGATCGTGAAGCCCATTTGCTGTAAGGAGTGAACCAGTCGATGATGCCCAGTTTGATGACCAACTTTGAGAGCCAGAGAGGAAGGAGCTTCACCACGCCAAAAACGATAATCGAACTCGTGCTCTCTTTGACGGACCTGATGAATCTATTTCAAATATCAAGATATTTGGTTGATTTACTGCCTTGTGTATGCAGTGGATCGATTTTTTAAAAGAATACCAGTACTTAAAATTCGAAAATTCTTACTTGTCAATGGCTTCCTCTTCCCCTGGAAATTGTTTCTTCAAGTTGCTGATCCACCTTTCCTTAGGGGAGCAGAAGTCATAGGATGCACTCTTCTCAGACAGGTACCGCAGCTTCAGCACATCGTACACTGGGCCTGTCGAGGAACGCATCACATTCAGTCTTCTCATTTTCTCCGTGAGGATTTCATCTCATTTTTGTGATATTTTAATATGGGGCTCAACTCCTATGTTTACAACAATTGCTCACCTATGGGAACGAACTCCAGCTGGTCCTCAGTGAGCTGGTCGAGCAGAATGCGATTGAGTTCTGTCTTTCGAAGTTCACCGACATTGTGGATTCCAACCTCAAACTCGTAGCCCTGCTCGATGAAGGTGTGGCAGGATCCACCAGCCTGGAGAAAATCCAGTAAACCAATCAATGACAGGTCTGTAAAGTGAAAATATTGGGATGCCATCGACACGACTGGTTCCTTGAAGCAATTTCTCATTAGTGCTGCTGTTAATGATCACCAAACTCGCTGACATTGCCCAAATAATTTATGTATGGAGATCTCCAAACTTTAAATGATTAATGGGACATTATTTGTTTACTTAATGATCATGCATTTTAACTCATGCTGTAGTACTGTAACTACTACTACTGTATTATACTGGAATATTTGACTGAAAATGTTCCATAATATATTATATTACACTATAGATACGCAGACGAATAGAGCATAACGCTCTCCAGAATTGTCAGTCACCTGGCCATGCTGTTCCAATACGAGGACTTTCTTCCCGGCCTTGGAGAGGAGAGCGGCTGCGGATAATCCTCCGATCCCGCTCCCGATCACGATCGCATCGAGGTCATGGGGTACTTTCTCCAGAGAGAAACCTGATGGCGGCAGAAGGACAGAGAAGAAGTGAGATTCACGTTCATGCACAAGATAATGCACTGGGGGGAATGAGGATATCCTTTCAGACTTTGCTTAAGGACTCTATCTCGGAGTTTCTGGTCGGCCACGTGAGGGGCCGGAGGGCGAACGTTGTCCAAGGAGAATATCGACCTCTTCTTTTCGAACATGAGCGACTGAGATCTTGAAGAGGAGGATGACCAGCCCACCCAGGGCCAAGAACCACAAATTCAGCATTCCTTGCTCACTCTCCCTCTGAATCTAAAAATCAAGTGTTCCTGGAGAGTAATGAGACAGATTCATGCATGACCATGTCGATGATCTCCTAGCGTCTCGAATAGATGCGACATCTCGCAAAGAGACGTCCAACGGCGTACTGATATGCGTGGCTGCTTCTAACATGGTGTGCAACATGTGTTACAGCGCGGTTATTTCGTTGGATACCAGTTTCAACACCTGTTTATACTTCGGCCGACAACATATGAGGTGTCTATGCAAACTAAATCGGACCCGTATAATCTAATCGCTACAGACATTTAGACGTACAAAGGAAGCCATTGACGGAACTACCCATACATATTTTTCAACCATGTATATCAACCATGTATATCAACCATGTATATCAACCATGTGTATCAACCATGTATATCAACCATGTATATCAACTATGTATATCAACCATGTATATCAACCATGTATATCATCCACTGACCGTCAAAGTTGACTATGATGTGGATCGGTCAGTAGCTACCACCGTAAAAAAACCTTTTAACCAGGTTAGGTTTTTAACCAGGAGGAAACTCCTGCTGGTCAGGAAACCTTGTTTTATCTCATCTTTACAGCAAAATAAACTGCAATAGCTGACCAAGACTATTTGATGTCGTGCGCATTTCATGGCAGTTCTCTGCTACCTAGAAAATGTCAAGTACTTATCCGAAATTCCAAGTACTCATCGCATCGCTGGATGATATGCATGTGCGACTGGATTGCACTGACGACCAAAACACAGGAGGATTTTATTGTATTGTATCTTATTTTAGTCAAAATCGATTTATGGTCAAAAATGGACAAACCTAACCTTACCGAGCTTTTATAATAATCTCTGAATAAAAAAAAATACTTTTAGGTTTGCTTAAGAACGCCTTTTCAAGAAATGCACATATTAGTAAAATATTATTTAAGAAATTATTAAGGGCCTAAATTGGGAGAAATCGTTCGAATATAACATTTAGTAGTTCAATGCAAATGCACATAACATTTGTTTTTGCTTGTTAATCTTCATTGTCATGACACTAATCACGTCTCCATCATATCCTTCTTAAAACCCTAATGAGTATCTCGAATGTTCACAATTTCATCCTGCCCCATCGACGCACATTCTGCGCCCGTTAGGGACCGGATCTGCGAACACGTTCACAGGTGTGTTTTCCAGGTATCACGAAATGCAGAGGCGACGTCATTCGTGAAACCAACTGGCTTCGCCTCGTGAACCTTGGCGTATATATGTATCTAATACTAGCTATGTATGTATGTATGTATATGTGTATGTGTATGTATGTGTATGTATATGTGTATGTATGTGTATGTATGTATTATGTACATGTGTATGTATGTGTATGTATGTATATGTGTATGTATGTATATGTGTATGTATGTGATGTATGTATGTATATGTCTATGTATGTGTATGTATGCATGTAGCCTATGGTTCGGCGCTCTATTACCTTGGATAGTGATTAATACATTCATTTTTTGCGAAATGGGAAACACGCATTCAAAGTAAGTCCCCGTTGAAATACGTGATGTATGGGGTCGAAAGCCTTGATTTTTATCAAAATCATTAATGCTATGATTCTATGTGTGTGTGTTTGAAATACTTCCCTCCAATAATCTACGCTAAGGAGACATATTTCAAAATTAGGATTTTTCCTCTACTCAGCCATCAGACAGGTACTTCTGAGGGAAGTTTAAATTTTCTGTCTCTGTTTCTTTGGCTAAAAAAAAAATCAGGAAAATGGGACTGANCAGACAGGTACTTCTGAGGGAAGTTTAAATTTTCTGTCTCTGTTTCTTTGGCTAAAAAAAAAATCAGGAAAATGGGACTGAAGAAAGTGCCATAACGGGTTTTAACGAAAATTTTTTTCCTTTTGAAATGTAGACTCAGGGAACTTCATGCCACCTAGTTTCAGCCTTATACGTTTCCCCTTTTTGCAAAAATGTATTTGGAAATGCGACCCACCCAAAAGCCATGCCCTGAGGGGATGCCCCATGAAAGCTGAATACTCTTTGTCTAAGTTCTAGAGAAGTTAGAAATCTGAAACTTGGTACTCATGTACCTTTTGGGATGCAGAGATCAGAAAAGAATCCCACTTTGGAGTTACATGCCCTGGGTGTAGACATTTCGGGGGGGAGAAGATTTTAAAGATATATAGTGTGACGGATTAGGAGGGCATGGAGAAATTTGACGGGAAGTCCCGAGTTCGGTGGTGTAGTGGTAGCACACCCGATCGGGCAATAAGGAGGCCCGGGTTCAATTCCCAGCCGTTCCTTGGCTTTCTTTCGGCGTCTTACGCCTTCCAAGTGGAGTTCCTCGTTCCCCCTCCGTAATAAAGTTATTGCTTTAGTAAAAGGGAGAGACATGGAAAGCTAAAACATGCCATGGACGTGCCTACCGAGACGATGAGATCAGGAAAAATGTAACATTTAAGATCCATGCCCTGGGGGGGCATATTTTTAGGGGCCGACATTTTCACGGAATTTTATTTCTTCCCTGGTGTATTGAGCTAGTGTGGAAAGATGAAACTTGGTACATTACCTATTTGGATGCTGCATGCAGAAAAATTCAGAATTTGGAAAATAAATGCCCCCGGGGCACAAATTTCAAAGGGAGATGTTTTCAAATAATTCAAATAATGAACATGGAAAGCTGAAACTTTCCATGAATGTGACTACTAAGGCAAGGAGTTAAAGGAAAATATTAAGTCTCGATAAATCCCTGGAGGAATTTTTTCGAGGGGCGATGATTAAAAAAAAAAATTTGTCGTGGCGAATTAGACAGAAATGGAAAGGCGAAACTCAGCACCTGCATAAGCGACGTGACATTATTATTATTGAGTTGAGGCAGTGACACATGATGACTCCTCAGAATGTAAAATTCTCTGCACGAGCGCCTCATGATTAGTTTATTCCGAATCGACACAAGCCTCTCGGCTACTTTCCAAACCAGGCATTATTGGATGCTCGCGAAACGGCGATGATCACCACACAGGAGCGAAAGATACTTGTTTGATGCATCTTTTGCCCGGCCGCTCTCAGAGGAGACGAACCAAGTGCATCAAAGATGCCTTGGGGACTGACACGTGATCAAAGATGGCGCCGTTCTTGATATCTCTTTATTTCAGACTCTCTCCGACTCGGACGATAAGTGCTGTTCTACAGTGGAGTAGATACGTCCGGGGAGACGGACACCAGGCTCTACGGTAGTAAGTACATTTAAATCATGGTTTAACAAGAGGTACAGTCGTTACTTATTTGTCGGTCCTGCTGTTCACAATTGATGGAAATGGTATTCTCATCATGGAAAGCGAGCAGGAGTCGCCATCGAATTTTTGGAGAGGGAGGATAAAGCTTAAGACAGTTCACCTATGATTACCGCAAAATCCAGCGAGAGATTATCAAGAAAAAATGGCGAAGATCGGCAAAAATGAATGGCAAAAAAGTCGGCGCGTGATGGGATCCATCGATTTCGCGAAAAAATGAGAATATTATTCATTTCGACCATCCCTGGGTCTACTTTTGGAATGATCATCGAGATCGGATGGAACTATGGAATCGAATTAAATTAATTTCAAAATTCGTTGAAGATAGATTCCATTTTAAGCCGATCGAGGAAGAAATTAAATCCGTGGAAACACCCCAGAGCCTGTTTAGCAAAGTGGTATTTCCACTTACTTCTGCGTGTCCGTCTTGCACGTTTTTGCATCGTCAAAATTATCGGCAACTTGTTTATGCTATATATATATACAGGTATATATATATATATATATATATATATATATATATTTTTTTTTATTTACTTTTAACGGATTTATTTTTATTTATAGATTGTCCATCTTATTATGTTTGGCTTGGAAGGGGGCAATTTAAACGCATTGCCCTTCCAGTCTCTTCCGCAAGTGTGCCAATTTTATTGGCTTTGAAACATCGATCTATATATATATATATATATAGTTTAAAATTGCACATAACGACACGAAATAACTTGGTACCGGCACTCCAAAAACTGATTTTTTTTCGTGCGTTTGCATCACCTTCGAGTTCCTTCGCTTCGTCATCGGCGACCCCATTCTTTTCGGTCCCAAGGTGACACCTGCCTCCTCGCGGATGGCTTTCCGACCAAAACTGGGAATTCGATCATTATTTCATTCATGAACTGATTCATGAACTCGTCTCAGTGTGGAAGACCTCCTGCCTATTTTTACTGATTTTCGGAGTCTGCCTCCGGAACCTCTCGAGTGCTGGCGGATTTTTTTTTAGCCGTTCGATTCCGAAATAGAAAGCAGCACTCTAAATGGTCCTTTCCATTACTGAAACGTGTCATGTCACGAATGAAAACATGTCATGTCGTAAACGAAAACATGTCATGAATCCAACAGCAAAATTGAGCCTGGATTTAAATTGGTAACGGAATGCCAAATTGTTCCAAAGACCCATTTGACCTGCCCGAAATGTCAGATGTCATTCGAAGTAATTTATCCAGTAAACAAACTATATTTGACTGCAGTAGAAATCACGAATGAACGCACTAATGGAACAGTATTTCTGCAGAAATGAATTTGTTCATTTCTTGCCCCATCCATTGACATCCCATGTAAGCGTGATAAACACGGGACACTACAATAATTTAAAGTTTTATTTATGGTCACGTGATTTGCGACTTGGAGACTTGGAAGAAATATGTCGAGTCCGACCAACGATTTGAAAAAAGATAAAACGATGAAGCAATACCCCATCGGAGTCGAAGCTACAGTATCTGATCCAGATTACAGTTGATTTCGAGATGAGAAGCTCATCGAAAAAAAAACTTCCATTTCTGGTACGTAAAAACAAATTTCTTCAAATTCTTCGTTGGGGTTGCCATGAGTTCAGGAAAGTTTTAAAATCTGTATTTGCATCTCTTGCGCTCCCACATGATGAATTGAGATTTATTTTCCATAATAGATTCCTAAGCGGAATGGATCTGCGCCCTCATTTAAGCCTGGTGTTTTCCCGATATAAAGAAACCTCGTTTCGAATTTTCAGGATGATACAAAATTTGTTGTGTCGGATGGACCCATCCGTGTATGGATCCACGGATCGATGATATACGTATTTCATTTCGGCCAACTACAATCCGTGGGACTCGGAAGCTTCCCGGGGATTTTTTGTCCATTCACTTGTTATGGGGTATCTGGGTCTTGGCTTTCGTCGGTTTCGCATACCAGCAGGTCTCCCACGAAAAGTAGAAGCTGATGGAGGTGACGCTGCACATTCATGGCTGGGTGCTGCCTGGGCTGGTCCCTCTGCGGGTGAGCGCGCTTTTCCATCTATCAAATTCTCTCATCTCGCAATTGCATTTAAATACGAAAAGTAGAAGCTGATGGAGGTGACGCTGCACATTCATGGCTGGGTGCTGCCTGGGCTGGTCCCTCTGCGGGTGAGCGCGTTTTTCCATCTATCAAATTCTCTCATCTCGCAATTGCATTTAAATGAACCTCATTACTGTGCCGTTGTAGAGCGAGCAAGGTGGATGCAGAGTGATGCTCATAGGAGGGGTGATATACTGTACCGTACTTGATGGAAGTGGGATTTTTCCGCTTAGATGATGTGATCCCGTTCGCACATGCAATGTGGCATTTGCATGTCGTCACAGCATCCACATGCAACTTCTTCGCCTCCTATCAATACTTGCTTCGACATACCCATCTCGACTAGGGTCTACAGAGAAAATCCATACAGGAATTCCCCTGTTCTTGGACATGGGAATAGGACTGACGGAAACTAAGTTGATCAGAAACTCGAAATTGGTGTCTTCGTCATCGTAGCTACCACTGCACTACCACTACAGGCTATATGGGCCCTGGAAGTTTAGATATGTAGATTTCGACTTAATTCATGGATATCATCATGGCTTCATTGATGACGATGTGTTGTGACTCCGGGATCAATATAAAATCCATGCAATCAATAGAATTTAGTCTTGGAAAACAATTCCATCATCAACTGACGCTGAATACGTCAACGCTAGATCTAAAGGAGTTCCGAATTCAATTGATGGGAATGAAATGGACTCTACGCTGGATCAATCATTGTCAACACAGACCCCACGTTAATGGCCAACGGCCACTTTCACATTGGATGCACTCGGATGACCGACGTAGGTTCGACCTGTCGTCACACTGGAGGATCACAGGCAACATGGCTTTCTGTGGCTCTACTTCTATTGAGAGGACTGCCGTCCTCAAAGTCCCAAAGTATCCATGAGGACAAGGACCAACGACATCAGAACGTCTTCGTTTCGTCTTTCTCCAAACAAAATTAATTAAGCTGCAGGTAGGGTAACATGCGATTTTATTTCAGAAAATATAGGCGACATAACGAAAAATGTGAGGATTAATATAGTATGAACGGAGTAAAGCGCGTAAGGAAGCGATATGAAGGAGTGTTAGCCCATTCGATTATTACGTGCCCAATCGGACACGATGACTGAAAATATTCGTCCATCACTTTACGCTTATTTCACTCATAAATTCAATCAAGAGGAGTTTGTCCTGAGGGAGATGATCCAGTCAGACGTTTTTCGCTCAACTAGAACAGCTGATACTTTATGGGAAATTACCCGTGGGACTGTGAACGTTCTCGTACAAAAAGAATCTGTAAAAGGAACTGAAATGATTAATAACTGAAGGAATTAATATTCCAAACTTGAAGGTGAGAAGACTCTTACCACCATCAACCGTGCAATCCGTTCATGGTCGCTCCGTTCCTTTCCCCTTTGGAGGCCTCGGCCTCCTGGGATTTCCCTTCTCGTATCTTCGCCTCCGCGAGTTGGTTGAGTTCATTCATGAGGTTGCGCTCGAGTATCTTGGACGCGCAGAGGACACCCCCAATCGCCGCTCCCGTCAGGCCGCAGCTCATCATGTCTTGCCCTGACAGGTAAAGACCTGAAAAGAAGGAAACACTCAGCTAATGACAAGCGGGAATACTTTTTGACTCGCATGTTTTCGCAAAATCCCATCTCTTGGAAAAAAGACTGGAGACTGAAGCATCAATCCTAGGTCATTGATGGATGTATTGATAGATGCTTCAGCAAGACTACTTCCAGCATGCAGCAGTTAATATTACCAGGAGCATTTCTACTAATCGAATTGTATACACTCAGAACCATAATATAAGACGCAACTCAGTGATAATCTCAGGCCTACAAGACAAAAGACACTGGTTACGCCATTTACTATCATCTGGGTAACCTTGAAAGTATAATCATCATGCCAGACTGCCAATCAGAAAGTTTTCCCCTTTATTTGTTACCGCCTCTTTCGGCATCTCTAAAGAATCATGACAGGCAAAGACCAGTGAATGTGATGGAACCCACTCAAGACTTTCTGTGCCCAGGAGGGCAAGGAGGCATCTTAACACCAGAGGCAAGGCCGGGGTCATACCATGTTAAAGCTGGAGTCACGTGCAAGCAGATCATAAGATGAAGTTACGAATCAAGGGAATGACGGTAGCGCATTCAGGAACAGATTTGTGATGTAATCGAAGGTGATAAACGCCGTGGGCCGTAAAACTTGGTAGTGACCGACCAAGGATCCTCACAGCATGCAATAACCGGAATTTTCAGTTGTTCATGTTGAAGAAGCTAAAGTCAGCTTCTAAATGTCTGGAGCAGGTCAGATGTGAAGGCATCAAGGAGAACAGCGAGAATCAATTCACAGATTACAATTGGGCAATGTTCTTTTGGACGATGAAAGTTACATTGAATTTCTCAGTGGGGTGGTGCCATTTCAAAGCAGGCAGGTCCTGTCACGTAAATATTCTTTGATTTTTTAAAAAGAAAATATATGTGGTCTAGGGTGATGAAATATGTTTGCTTATATACCTCTTCATCTACGATAGTTTCGGGGGAAAAATGTATAAGTTGATGGCTCTGAAAAGAGGAATATGCCAAATCGCTGTTTTTCCTCACTTTCAATTTGCTTTGCCTCCTATACTAGTATACGTACATTTCTGAAAATAATGTATATCTTACTTGAAAGACTGAACTGCGTACGCATATGAAATTAATCCGGTTATTATAAGTTTTTTTTTCAAAATGAGCGAAACTGAAAAATCCATTCATGTATCTCATGGGGTCTTTTGGCATTAATATCAATATTACCTAAGTTGATATTAATCGACCATTTCATCACTTTCCCAAAAATGGGGGAAAAAGAAAATAGTTTTCTCAAAATCCCTATCATTGATTTTTTTTTCAAGTTCATACTGGAAGGCACAGATTACTTGATGGCATGAAAACGTCCTCCTCCTTTTTCCAAATTGCATATTGACTTTTATAGGTGTGCATTTTCGATGATGTTAGAAGACACTATAGTCACACAACCATGATTAATTTGTACCTGCATGTTTGTAGCGTCATTCAGCCGCTCACACAGTCACTCATGATCGTCTATATACGTACAGGGTGGCTCAGAGGAACGGGAAATATTGGAACGGAGATTTATGGAAGAGACAAAATATTTTAATACATTTATTTATGACAATGAATAGTACAGATTATGCCATTGATGAATTGCATACCAATATTTATTTCTTGAAGATGACATCAAGTAGGTGACCCCTATCTCTGCGCAGACATTCCTGCAGTCTTTTAGGACATTTTGCATGACTCGACGAAACATTTCAACAGGAATGTTGGCGATTTCCTCTCGGATCTTGGTTTTCAGTTCTTTGGTCGTAGCAGGTCGACTAGGGTACACCTTGCCCTTAAGGTGACCCCACAAAAAGAAATCGCACACTGTCAGGTCAGGGGATCTTGGAAGCCATGAAATGTCGCCGTTTCTCGAAATTACACGGTTGCCAAACAATTGTCGTACAGCTGCCATCGATATTCGTGCTGTGTGTGACGTTGCTCCGTCTTGTTGAAACCAGGTGTTTTCAATCACTTGTGGGAAATTCCGCAGTTCGTGCGCAACAAAGGTTTCCAGCATGGCAACATACCGCATAGACGTTACAGTGGTTGCAAGGCCATCATCATTCTCAAAAAAGTAAGGGCCTATGACGCCATAATCACTTGTGGGAAATTCCGCAGTTCGTGCGCAACAAAGGTTTCCAGCATGGCAACATACCGCATAGACGTTACAGTGGTTGCAAGGCCATCATCATTCTCAAAAAAGTAAGGGCCTTTGACGCCATACGATGACATAGCGCACCACACGGTAACTTTGTTGCTGTGTAACGGGCGCTGGTGTAGCTGAGCAGGATTTCGCTGGGCCCAATAGCGAAAATTTTGTTCATTGACGAATCCATTCAGGTGGAAGTGGGCTTCGTCTGACATCCACAGGTTGTTAATGAAATCCTCGTCCTCGTTTACCTTTGCCGTCATTCGTTCACAGAATTGTCGCCGCATTAGGTGATCATTGGGTTTAAGTTCCAGGACGATCTGTGACTTTTGTACGGATGGAACTTTAATTCCTGCGACAGTATTATTTCAACACTCGAACGATGCAACTGTAAAGAAATTGCAAGACGTCGAACTGAACGTTGTGGGCTTCTCATGACAGCAGCTCGAACAGCCTCGATATCGTCTGGCGTACGAGTGGTTCGCACACAATCTGCAGGTTTCTTTTTCAGGGCCGAACCTGTTTCCTCAAAATTCCGTACCCATGTGTTAATTGCATGTGCTGACGGAACACGATCATGACGTCCTAAATTGAAGTGACGTCAAAATTCTCTACGCGCGGCCTCCACACTGTCATTGTTCTTGTAAAATGCTTTGACCGCAAACGCACGTTGTGCACCACTCCACTGATCCATGATAACTAAACGGCAAGATGTCGTAAAGTGGGTTTCATATGTCATTCAGCGCTACCAACCTCCCAGGGCTGACAATACAATTTTCAAAATTTCCCGTTTCTCTGAGCCTGTACATCGAAAAATGGATTCATTGGCTCTGTAAAGTGACTGAATATCGGGAACCTACTGAATACTAACCTCATGCGGGTAGTCCAATCGCAGCAAATGACACAGCAGGGACAAGGGTGCGGGGGAGGAGGTGTGGGAGGAGGCGTGGGAGGAGGCGTGGGAGGAGGCGGGGGAGGAGGCGGGGGAGGAGTCGGGTGCAAAATATCCTTCATGAAATATTGAATGCTTTCCGTCGTCATCTTCCATAGCAACTCGTTGATTGACATTGTCTTCGGTTTCTTCTTCTTCACTTCCTCGTCGGAGGAGGAAGATCCATTTTCTTCTTCCTTCGCGAAGTAGGAGGAGCTGTTCACGACGTAAAACTTCTTGTATTTCAATCGCGCCTCTTTCACGGCTTCTAGGACTGGGAGGCGTTTGCTATCTGCGAATGTGCAAAACAGATAGGAAATTTCGTGGATTCCAGGAATCTTATCTCCCAAGACTTTGGCCATGTTCACCAGCCCCACCTTTTGCTCCGCCGTCAATCTCCCCTGTTTGGGTGGACAAAATGAATATCCCGGTATTGTGAGGGAAAAAAATTCCCTACATTTCGATATTGATAAGAAAAGAATATGTTTTAAGATTAAATCTGCAGTCTAGTCCAAATATCAGGAATCAGCCCAGCTAGGCCAAACATTTCATACAGACAGGCGCGTGTCGTCGACAAGGAACTAGCACGACAGACTTGAGGAACAATTGTTCCTCAAGAGGTCGAAGGTATTCCAAACAGCCTGGATTTTAAAGCGGAAAATGTGGGATTTCCCCATGTTCTCCTGCCTTGCTGGAAGCAAGACGGGTCGGGAGAGAATTCTCTAATTTTTTTGTGCTTCATTACATCCAATTGTATTTGAAATCATTCCCGTTAAGACTTCTACAGTCTAAAGCAGTGTGAAACTGCTTTGACGTATTACTGCCACTCCTTCACAAATATCCAGTCTAAAAAATTATAATAAATTCATTTTGTGTGATTCTGAATATAATAACTCAGCAAATCTAGTAATTTTGCCACGAAGGCGATTGAAGGCGACTTCTCACTGGGGTAGTTGCACTCTCGCCTCGAATTCCTTCCTCCCAAGCCTCATCTAGCTATGCTGGTTGAGAATGGAGTGAATTCCGCTTTGAGGAAAAAAAAACGCTACCTGAGAGCCCTGGACGACGTAGACGACGGCATGGATTTTCATATTTTGGATGAAAGCGCGAATGTCTTGGATCAACTTCTGGTCGTCCGCGGGCGTCCCCTTCTGGAAGCCCGGCGTGTCGATGATGTTGACGGGATTAGGGAGCCTTAGAGTGTCTCTGACGAAGAAGGAGTGCGAGGTGATCCTCTTGGTGGGTCCATCCTCCCTCTTCACCCGGAACCGAAAGGGATCCTCGAACTCCACTCCCACGGCGTAATTCCCCATCGCCTCCTCCAACATCGATTTCCCTGCAAGAAATAAGAACGCGCGGATTATCGACACCGGCCTCACATCTTCGTGTAGGTGAAACATCGGACGACGCGAGGAGCGACCTGATCCAGTCAATCCGAGGAGGAGGACATTCAAACATGTTCCATCGTGTTGATCTTCCCCCAATATAAATCGATCATCTGCAATACGCTGAAATGGAAGGACGTAAGTCGGCGGATTCGTTCCTTCGATCAGGACGCTTCTGTCTCTCAGCTTCTCGCGCCATTTTTTTCCTTCCGACCCCATTCTCGTTGGATCTAGAGCACAGTCGAGGAGGGGGTCATCGCTCCTTTATCTTTTCCAATGAACTATCCCGCAGATATGAAGACGATGTGTGCTGGCTGCTGGATAGATGGAAGACCTCCTCGGAATCCCGTACCTAGAAAAGGCCACAGAACAGGCTTGGCATGAATTTCAACTGGATGAAGTCGGCGATCATGGTACTATCCAGAATACTCAAAATCAATGGGCTTTGGTAGCGCATATTACCCTTCTTCAACCCCTTTCCACAACAAATTCAACTTTCTCGTATTCCTCTTTGAGAGCATCAACTACAACGAAAAATTGCATGCTTCTTCTTCTCTCAACTAAGAATCGCTCCATTAAATTTGAAGCCCCATCTTCGGTTTCGGAGGTTTCGAAGATCACTGAATATCGCTTTTGAACTATGTGAATTTCATTCCGGCATTTTTTTCTCTCCCCCTCTCCCTCTCCCTAGGTAGCCACTCCTGGGAGCTTTCGGAGGAAAGAGACTGACCATGAGAAAGACATTGACTTGTGGATAACGAAAAGAGCCTTTTTTGTTGCTTGCGATGCACCATTTCCCCATAAAATATGAAATTAGTTATCGTTCATTTAGGCTTAGAGCGCTAGCTCTGATCCTGTCCCACAATGTTGCCGGATATCGTGCCGAAATTATGCCAGATTCAAGACAACTTCAACCTCCGTATCGACGTTTAGATCTTTTGTTTTTTAATGTATGTTACATTTTTTTGCTATGTTCATGATTTGCGCTGAGAATGAAGCGGTAGATAGCAGCGATTGATCGATATGGAGATATCTTATCCGGACATCCCTGAATTAACAAGATGGCGCGCGCCATAATAGTTCATTCTTCCTGGAAGCATTCCCTCCTCAGATCTATTCGAGATGGTTCAAAGAACTCCAGATAGACCTAACGTTCCACGTCCCCACTAAAATGGTTCGTGAAAGAATGAATAGGCCTGCGAATGGCTTAACGTTACACGTTATCAACGAGATGTCTATAAGCCCTATAAGCCTAATTGAATTGACCCTGTAATTCGAGAATAGAGTTTCTTTCGAAAGAAAAAAAGGGAGACCTTGGCGGGAGCTGAAGCCAGTTCGTTGGTTAGGCCTATGCCTAAGCCTAACGTTTGTGAATCCCATAGAGATGGGTGGGGGGGGGGGTGAAGAAAGGGAAACCAATTGAGAATTAGTTTTTTTGCATTACTTCATAGTTATATATTAATATCATATTATATCTTGGTCGAGGAGGTGAAACTTGAGGTCTTCTAACATTTGAAATCACGGTGGACAAAATGAGTAAAAAGGAGCGGAATCTGCCAGTACAAGAGGGGTTCTTGGTCTCGTGTTCCCTGAAAGACTGCAGCCTGCCAAAAAAGAGTGAAACTGCTCATGAATGCTCAGATTCGTGGACCGATTCTCATCCTCAGCGCCTCACGCCATCAAGGAACCCTGTTGCATGAAGGTGCTGACAGCGGGAATGCGGCATGTACCGCTCGAACATCGGTTCTTCAATTGTAAAATGTACAGTTCGTTATCGAGAGGGGGGGTGGGGTGGGGGGGAAGGGGGAGGCTCCATGATAAGGCCGCCAGCGGATTCACATCAGGAATGTGGATAGCGAATGGGAGGAGGATACTCAACTTCTCGTCGAGTATCCTCTTCCTTCTCCCGTCCTCCCTATTTGCTCTCATTGGTACTGAATGACTGTTTCGTAATGCTGACGAACTTTGAGGGTCTAGCGAGAACTTTTTCGCTGATAATCTTCAAGAGTTCTTGCAAATTTCGGGTAATTTATAAATATATCATTGATAGTGGGGATGATTCATTCGTCCATTCGAGGGAGACGCATGAGCGGACGGCTTCTATTCCTTCTTTTTGGGTAGGAAATCGGGGAATCGGGGGAATCGAGGAAGACGCGAGACGTGATCCACATTTTATTCTTGCATCTGACCATGCGAACCAAGTGCGTGCATCTCCGACGTTATTTCTCGAGCAGCCTTGCGTCACGCGTCGAAGACGACCTTCCTCCGCAGAGAGAATTCTGCATGCATGAGGCATCACGACCGAGTGGAAATATTTAAAAGGAGGATTGGAGGCCACTTTGCGGTCAGAGGACGGTTACAGTCGGTTAAATGCCGGTTGCGATCGGCTCGGGAGAGCGGGACCGGATTCCAACGTGACTCATTCGCTTTCTCCCATTCTGTGTCTCTGAGCTCATCGTCTCTTGAGTTCATCGGCTCTTAGCTCATCGTGGAACTTATCGCTTGGCTTCATGAGTCATCGCGATGAAGGCAGCTTCATGCCAAGCGAAAGAAGCCGTCTGTTTACGTTTCCCATATCTACTTCCATGCTTCGCGTGTTTTTCGTTCTTCGGCGGGAGTAATGGAACGAAGTACCGAAAGAAAGAAGCACTCCCAGAAAATGGAGCAGTACCGGAGAAAGTACGTCCGTACCTTTCCTCGAGAAGTGCGAGTACCGCATCGTGTTCCAGTTAGCTTCTTCCGCTAACTACGCGAAATGAGAGGAACGTCGCAGTTGAGGACGCCTTCAGTAGATGTCTCGCTCGTCTCCGTCGTAAGGGGGGGATCCGCTTGAAGTGAGACATGTCGGCCTCGGGGGGTCGACGGGACGACTTTCCCCGCGTGAAGCAAGCAGCAGATTGCATGCTGCGGGTCACGCAAGGCCTTTCTCGCCCCAAGAAAGGGGTATCAATGACAACCGGACTAATTACGTTCATGAAAGTTCGTTTATGCGTATGATTAGTCTGCTAGAGATGTGCATGAGACGTGTTTGCGCAATCGCATTCACTGCCAATCCCCTGCTCGACACTTCCCCGCCGATGCGAAACAGTCACGAACCACCATCGCGAATCGAGAGGGCTTCCACCCAATATCCGCTCTTTCGAAAGCTTCCGTCTCCCCCCTCCCTCTCCCCATCCCCATCCCCCACCGCTTAAGCAAACAGTAGTGACGGGAAGAACTGACCTGAACGATCCTGCGGGCCGATTACGGAAGAAGGCAGAAGAAGGCCGGTACTCGGGAAAGTCCTTCTACGTGCAGGACTCCATCATCCACTTTCCTTATCGTCTGTTTAAATCCTCTCCTCGACGGCTCCTCCCCGATAGCCGGGTATCAGCGCCTTCCCTCCCCGGATCCCGAGATAACGGACGAAAATCCTTCCCAAACATCCTCTCAATCTCGACTCGGACGACCTTGGAACGAAAACAATTAGCCCCAATCGGCACCATCGAGAGAGAGAGCAAAAGACTCCGCAAAAAGGCTAGCCCTCACCGTCAACCCTTCCATCCGTTTACCACGTGAAAGGAGACTCAAGGGAAAAATATCCTCCAGGAAACCGAGATGGGGAGAGAGACATTGGAACGGCACTCATCTTAAACGCGCGTTACGCCATAACCCTATGGCGTCGGAGATGGCGCTTAACAAACCCCACAGGAGAAAAAATCGATCCCCCTGGATTTGCAAAAATAATGATTGGATTTAAAAGTTTACGCAAATGCAATAGGTGCCAGAAACCTCCAGATAAAATTTCAGGGAAAGGCCTTAAACAAGACGGATTTAATGACACTCGCGTAAATATACGTCAACCGCGTTAACATGGGCTGACGTGCATATTCGTCAACCTATGCTTAAGGGTTCATGCCAAGCATAAACAATGGAAGAAAAGAAAGGAAGGAGATCCTCGTTCCATCGCGATCGTTTGTCCCTCCATTAAGAAACGCCTGCCAGCGAAACCTGTTCGATTACTTCGGAGTTTGAGGAGTTGGGGATGTAGGTTAAAGAGGATTACTTGAACGGGCCTTTGCCTAGCCATCTGGCCCCGCCCCGTCTTCTTTTTTCACATATGAAATTCCGTTACGGCACAGCGCGGAATTCGTGCGATTTCATTTGACGAAACTGTAGTTTTTTTATTGGTCATTATTTTTTTGAATTCTTTTGTGGTCACTAATATTTTTTAAAATTTCTAGACCACGGACGGAAACCGCTAAGAGTTGCACAGAGTAAGACGTGCTCAATGAAATATTTGCTGACAGTCACTCTGTGGATGATTTTTTGATTGGAGATGATAATGCTGAAGAATATCATGTCAATGAAAGTGTCACAAGCTAGATCTACCGAACCTGAGTCCGATTTTGATGTTGATGAGCAACGCCTTGACGGTGGTGATGCTCCACCTTAAGCAGGTGGCACATCCACCTTGCTACGGGACTCTTGGTGGAAAACTGACCCGCCCCCAGATGGACCGTATTTCAGAGGGAATCCAGATTCAAAATTGCAAGTGGATAATCCTGATGATGTCATGCAGTATTTTGCTTCTTTCATCACTGAAGAATTTGTTGAATTCCGTTGCACACAAATTCTTATGCTCACCAATTTTCAAATTTCGCTTCCGGGCAGTTTTCCAGGTTTGACAAATGGAGACCCGTGACACCAAATCAGGTGAAAAAAATGTTTAGGCCTAACAATGCCCAATGGCATAGTAAAAAAAAACCTACATTGGAAATATACTAGTCTGCCAAGGATGTTATTCAGACACCCATCTTCGCCAAAACGATGTCGCGGAACAGATTCCAGGTGATTCATACATTTTTGCAATTCAATGATAACCAGGATCTGCATTCAGTGAACTCTGACAGGTTAGATAATACCTTTATGAACCACTTCGCTAAAATTTTCGTGTACGAACCTTGTAGCAGCTGTTTTTGGATGAAGGCCTGCTTGCATGGCGGGGTAGACTCAGATTTAAGAGGTCCAACCACAGGAAAATCATCAAGCATGGCATTCTGGTTTGCCACACGTGTAAAACTTTCTCAGGCTACATACTGTATGTATGATGCAAATTTATGATGGGAAATATGGCAGTCTGACTTCTACCATTGGGAGGCTGCTTGCACCCTATTATGGGATGGGATACCACATATATACTCAATGGATAATTTCTACAATAGCGTATCATTTGCCGAGGACTTGACCAGGAAGGAAGTACGGATTTGTGGCACTCTGAGACAAAATAAAGGCGCGCCCAAGGAACTGGTCATTGAATCTAAAAAGTTAGCAAAGGGAGAGGAAATACACGGGCGGAAGGACCAGGTCCTCCTCTCGTGTTGGAAGGACAAACGCCTCGTAACAATGATTTCTACCCTTCACACGGGTACACTAGTTGTTGTTCCAACAAGGAGGAATCAAGGAAACGATGAGAAAGGGCCCAAGAAGAAGTCCATACGCATCATGGAATATAACAAGTACATGAAAGGGGTTGATGCCACTGACCAGTACTTATCGTACTACCCTTTCACAAAGGAAGACTCTAAAGTGGACCAAGAAAGTCTTCTTCTACTTGTTCCAATATGTGCGATCTTCAACTCATATATGGCATACAAGAAAACTACTGGGTCCAACAAGTATAAGTTGGACTTTAGCCTGGAAGTGAGCGAACACCTCGAAGCAGTTGCAGACACTACGCAACAAGAGGCGTCGTACACGGACACAGAAGACATGTCTCTACCCACAGCAAAGACAATGAAGAGATCTCCTGCCAAGGATTCACTAGGTGATTCAATGGGAACATGAAGGAGCACATGCTCGAGAAATTGACAGGGAAACACTAGAAGAGGGACTGTAGAGTGTGCACCCGGAATTAAATTCGGAGTGGAACAACGTACGTACCTCGTATGCTCCTAGCGTGCCGTGCCTCTCGATGCTGGCGCTTGTTTAGCAAAATATCACATTCTCTGACATTACTAAAGATATATTGAAATTTTAATGCATAGCTCTTTAACAGGTTGACCGCCACGAGGCACACTGGTGCGCCTCACTAAATGTGAAAATCAATAGGCCCACATTGCTATAACGGGCAAAGTGTTAAAGGTTGACGAGAAATGCATTTAACTTAAAATTAAGTAATGCAAAAAGTCTCCATTTACTGAAAAGTATGAGGGCAATTATACTACAGAAGGGTCCTTCAACGTAACTTCCTTCCCTGGATCATGTGTTTAGTACTTAAATGGCACGACTCATTCTGTCCAGCAAAGGAGTTATGCACCTTGCATCACTTCAAGATTCGTCGCTCATGCAGGAGGAGAGCCAGACACACCCTCGCAGTCCGATTAGCACGCTGCCATTCTCGAAAGAGATATCATAGCCCAAGTTACAGTGCCATGAAGCGAGGTTGGGAAATTCGGCATGTCTCCTAGGACCTCCAGGCCAGAAGTCTCCTTCCGGGTTACCTCCTTCAACGGGTCGATCTAGGAATTTCAAAGCCTTCCCTCAAGTTGTACGTGGGAACAGATCGGGCACTCTATGAGCAACACAGGGAACTTTATTTTTCGTGGCACCAGGGTGAGAATCGCTAAATTTGCGGTTAGGCGCCATCTCGTGTCGATTACTTAAACCTATTTTCTGTCGAGATGATAATGGATAACTTCATTTAGAGACAACATTAAGAATATGACGGAGGCAAATGCGAAAAGTGAATTTGCTGTTAATAGCTTCCAAACGACTTCGCTAATCCATGTGCAGTCTTTTTATGCTGCAAATTCGGTTAATTACGAAAAGACGGCTATTCATTGATGCTTTCTTCGTATTCTTCGCTGAATTTTCAACTTCAACCATGTTTCAACATATCAACTTTTTTTCAATGTTGACCCGGCGATGTTGTGCCGAATGGGCAGAATCTCAATATGCCGGCAATAGATCTTTGGAATAGGTCTAGACGAAACATCACATTGAGCCTGAGCGAGATGGTTTTACTCTTGGAAGGACGAAAGTGCGCTCTTCATGACGATGTTGTGCGGTTGCACATGCGTGGACGAAACTGCACACTCCATGACTGTGTGCAATATCGTCACGAAAAGCGCAATTACGTCTCGATTGATATACATAGAGGGCGCTGAATTTTTCTTGTAACTTCCCGATTCCCCTGACAGATGGAAACGTTATAATTTCACGGGCGCTTTTGTCTCGTAAAAACATTTTGACTCCATTTGAATTTAATTTTTCTATTTGACTCTCCCGCTTCAGGACTGTTCAGTGAATTCCGCTTTTTTGGGACACGTTGGTTCCAGGTCAATTTGCCCCAATTAAGCGGCTGCCCCAATAAAGCGAACTTACCTCATAGTATAGTAAGAAACCCAGACACGAATGTCCTTTGCTTGTGCAAAAACAAAAATTACGATTCACGAAAATGCCCTCATAGTTGCTTGTTTCATATCCGAAAAATCTTCTCTGAAGCACCAATGCCAAGAGCATCATGTCCACTATCATCCAAACCCTTCTCAATAAAGTAGCGCTTAAGGTTGTCCACCGAGCGCTCTTTCGTGGCCTCTTACGCGAGTCACCTTAGGTAAAGTCTCAGGCTCCTCGTCTGCGACATCCCCTTAGCAAGGCCTATTGGTAACGATGTCCTCGATTATATCGTCCTCAAAGTCATCGTGTTCGGTGAAGCACGGTGAGTTTTCGTCGATGTTATCGTAGGCTCCTCCGTTAGTGACAATAACTGTCAGACCCCCGTCATTGGAAGACGCTGGTACCTCTGGACAGGAATAAAGCCAGATCTACGGAAGCTGTTTCCAATGGTCTCAGCCTTAACAGTCGGCCAGCTCTTTACCGCAAAAGACACGGCGAAGAGGAGCGAGGGAGTGGGCAGAAAAGTCTCGGATTTTCGTCACAAATATACGGCGAAATTTTAAATGCACTTGCATAGAAATGGCTCCGTTCCTCACAAAATGTCCCGATAAACCGGCTGCCCCCATTAACCTATGGCCCAATAACGTGGAATCCACTGTATTTAACGGCTAATATCTACTTTTCTTTTCACGATTCCATTCTTCGCCAAGTTACATGACGCCATCATATTTAGAATGTTTTCCAGTGGAATCAGTTTCTCCATAAGAAATTCATTATTTGAAATTCTATGTGTTTCCAGCATTAAAAAGTATTTCTGAATCCCTTAAATTTGCGGAGCGACTTAAGCCGGACTTGTCTTGACAGAAGGCAGTATACAGTACTCGTATTTCATGAGAAATTGTGCTGAGGGAGTGCAGAAAGTGCAAACATTATATAATATACCGGATGCCCATTTAGCAAGAACTACAGACTTGCATTCCATTAGTGAATTCAGAAGGATTTCATTCAGTTGAAGTCTGAATTACGTAGTTCCCTGCAGAGCCGTATCGAGGGGGTTGCGGGCG